CTGATCAGCATATTTTGATAAATCCATGCTGACCTCTGTTTATCTTGCTATTGTATTAATGCTATATTATCTTGCTATATGTTAATGCAGCAGAATGCTTTTTAATCTGTTCTACCTGTTTAAGGTAGCTTAAACTAGTGGACACTAGTTTAAGTGAAGCTTAAACTTCATCCCATCGCCAATATAGCTCTTAACACGAGCACTTCTTCTTTACAGGAATTCAATACTCCTGAATCTCCATTCAATATTCCTCAGAAATAATTTCCTGTGGCTTCAGTGTTTCTGAGAAAACATCTTTGAATTACTTGTGTCCCCTTTGCTTTGTTTTGCCTTCTCTGTTTTAAAGCAATTCTCACATTAATCACACTTTGACTGTTACCTTCTTTAATGAAAACAAAAGCGAAGTAACAATGAAAATTCAGTCCTTTCCACTAGAAAGGAGTTCTCTTCCTTAAATTGTTTCTTTTTGCATTATTACCAACTTATTCCCCACCCTCTTCCTTCATGTATGCTAATACACGTTTCTCTTGATTCTCTTCCTAATCATTACTGAGTTTACATGCAGTACACAGGGCTTTTCTTTAATAACTCTGCTCTTACAGGAACTTGTTTTATGCCTGAACCAAAACTCCTTACACAGCAGCTGATGGCTGGAGAAAGTAGAGTCACAAGATTATGAACATGTAAACCCCAATTGTTATCCCTGCATGCAAAGGGGGATTAGGAGTTGCATTAGCAGTTGCAGGAATGGCTGTGGAGTACTTATTTTATTCCTCCAAACAGAAATAATTCCTACCCTAGCACAAAACTTTTTGATGGATGAGACTGATTTTGTGTTGCATTAGGGTCTATCTGATCCAGTTTACAAAAGGGTTTTTTCTCTGCCTGTGTGTGAGCATTTCTTCTCCAGCTTCCTACCATACAGCTGGAGGCTAATTGTATGTAATCCAGTTGCCCTGGATGATCCATTTGCATCAGTGAGTTTAAAGGACAGCTGTACAAGGAACTTGCTCAGGGATGTGAGTGGTGGACTTCCATTCCGCAGAGTTCAGCTCAGTGTCTTGGGTGGCTCTTGCCTTTCAGTGTTGTGCTTCAGCCTCTCTTGCCTTCCAACATGAATTGCTCCAGAGCATGTTTTCTCTGCCACCTTCACTGCTGGCACATCTGGCATTCCCTGAATTTATGTTGCTGATCAGGGGCAGCCTCTGTGTTCTCATTGAGCTAACTGCTGCTTTGCTCTGGAAAGCTACCATTTAGAGCAGCTACTTCTCTTCTGCCTCCAACCATTTCTCCCCTGTCCCTAGCCAATTTTTATGGATTCTTCCATGGACTCCCACTTTAACACTGTGGGGCTCTGTGTTTTCTAACCTGGCCTCCAGTGAATTTTGCTTCAGTGACAAGGCAGGAGGGGTGTGATGCTCAGCTTGTCCGATAGTTTTTGCAGGATTCCACTTCTGTAGACTGTAGCTGGAAAAGAGATCTTCCTTTTCCCACATTTTTCAAGATTTCTCTTCCTCTTTGTCATGTCTCTCTCATGCTGACGTTGCAGCCGAATGAGCGTGCTGACATTGTGTTACCTGAGCATGCTTCTTTAAGCATGCTTCATTTAACCTCCTCTACTTATTTCACCTATTTGCTTTATTCTTCCTAAATACCGCCCCAATTTAATAATGATCCCATAAGTTTCTTTTGCCACATGAGGACATTCACCGTGCCGGTGTGTTCTCGGTCACCAGTAACCAAATCTATGAAAGCAGAGCATATCTCCACACCTCCATCTTCTCACCAACTCTTTCTCAGCTGGAGTCACCTTGAACTCCTCGTTTCATCTGCAGAATGACTGGGCTGTTTTCAAATTACAGATTCCCTAAAAGATCCCTTTTCTTTTTCAGGTGTGAATCAGGATATACTGGACAGCACTGTGAAAAGACAGACTTTAGTATTCTTTATGTTGTCCCAAGCAGACAAAAGCTTACGCATGTCCTTATTGCAGCAATAATTGGAGCTGTACAGATTGCCATTATAGTTGCAATTGTCATGTGCATAACAAGGTAGGTAAAGACAAAAACAGTGAAAAATTATGCACTGTATGGATATACTTATTCTGTATTGAAATATTTAACACCCATAATTTTATATGCTTTATCTCAAAATATCCACATAAAAAGCACCTGATGACTGAAGCTGTAGGATTATGTAACATCCTATTGCCTTTGCTTTTTTGGTCACAAAAGACACATTGGTTTAAACTCACAAACCACCAGTAACTGCTCTGAATCCCCAGACCAAATGCCCAGCAGAAGAGATCAGCCTTGAAACACATCCAAAAGGTCAGCTACTGCATTAGACCTTCCCTGAACTTACTCAAGCATTGCTGGTATCTCATAGAAGCTATAATCCCTACTCCCGCCCAGTGAAACCAGAGAGGTTGACAAGATGCTGCTCTTTGCAGTACCACTGTAAATGGTGTTACATGGAGGAAGGAGTATCTCTCACACTATATATGCTTTCTGGAAATTAATGTGCATCTAGTCCTGTTATTAGTCACTCTCCATGGGAACCTATTTTATACAATTTAAAGACACACAGGCACAGAGTTCAAGTTTCTAGGTTGTCTCAGAGTCTCACCCTGTATGAAAACTGAGCTGAGAGCCATGGATTCCTTTTGATGACAAGGGGTTAAGCTTGCTCATTAAGGAGTTGAACCCAATGATGTCTGAGGTCTCTGGGATAAATTAAGGTTAAGGTTGACTTTAGTTACCTTATAGGTTCATGAAGCATTTAAGTCCTATGCTTGGGCATCCATGATACATGTGGATATACACATACTTTGACAGCTCCTGCACTTATAAAAGAGTTAGTTACTTGGCTCATGCAGTTGATGTCATCCCTTTTTTACTCACCACCCCACTGGCCAAAGCACTGGTGAGAAGGCTGTGGTTCAGCAGCCCTCCTCTTTCAGCCTCCCTACAACTGCTCCCCAGCTCACAGTCTCTCAAGGACAGTCTGTCTTGCTTCACTGCAGTAGGAATGCTCCATTGAGCCTTGCCTGTTGCCTTATGGGTTAAGTCCCATCCCACTCAGAATTGCTGGCTTTTGTGAATCCTTCCTCAGCTGTGTGTCTGTCCCCAAGAAAGGGATCACCTGAGTCACCTTACAGAGAGTCCTGGGTGGGCTCTGTCTCAGGGGTGCCATGAGCAGCAGGACGCTTGGAGGTCCAGCACTTCAAAAGGCTGTTTGATCCAATCTTGCCATCCACTGGATTTTAAGTATGAAATATGTATGGAGTAAAGCCAGAGTAATTATTCACTGTGGCATGTGTTTTGCTGGGTCAAGGCTGAAGGACATAGCACCTTGTTGGTTTCAGTCTTAAGCTCAAGCAGAACTCCTTTCTGAGTGATCTAGGGTCCCATGGGTGTCCCCAGGTAACAGTCCAGTACTGAACAGCAGGAGCATCCCTTCATAAACACAGCTCAGAGACTCCTTGCTATTGTTCTGTACAGAAGTTTAAGTCAGTGTGTTATTTCTAGGCTTAATTTTATATGGCATATATAAAACCAGTCCTCCTTTTTCTTTATTTTTTTTTTTAACAGAAAATGCCCCAAAAACAATAGAGGACGTCGGCAGAAGCAAAACCTAGGCCATTTTACTTCAGATACATCATCCAGAATGGTTTAACTTAGTGATTTTTATACCTACATTGACCATGTGATGTACATTTTTATTATATCTTTTTTTAAAGAATGGAAATATTTATTTCAGAGGCCTTATTTTTGAACATTTTTAGTGTAACAATGTTGGTCTGTATTCTGAAAGCAACAGCTCTAACAGCTATGGACTGTTTTAGTATCTTTACTTTTATGTTTTTGAATACAGTAGTCCATTTTCTGTATCTGTATCACATGGTTATATAATAGACTTGTGCTTTATCCATGGAATGTAATATTTTTGGGAACACAGATTTATTCCATCAATGGTTGTAGATTTAAAAACAAACAAACAAACAGGCAACAAACAATAAACCAACAAAAAAGTCCACGTTACCTAGCAAACAAGGCATGAACAAAAGGTAAAAATGTTTACAGCTTACTTTTCTTATGAGAAACTAGAAAACACTGTGTTTAAATACCGTAGATATTTAAATGTTTTTGGAAGTTAGTAACTGATTTTTTAGACACTGCCTATCGCATGAACTGTGAAGCTGTGTGCTGTGTGTAGTTGTAACATATTTATAAGACGTGTGGGCTGGGTCTAAGCACTGCCATCTTCATACTGAATTCCAACAATTTATTTTTAAAGAGGAAAATATAAATTTCATAATTTGGGAAGTTACCTGGTAGAGCAGATGGCACAGGTCCAAAAGTAGGTCTGAGTAGATGTAGGTATTGTAAAAATTGGTGTTGAATAATTGAACACAAAGAATTGGAATAAAGCCTACTTTATCACTGTTAAAGCTGTTTTAATACTTCTTAAACTTTTTTAAAGCAAATACATGTTTTAACACCTACAATACTGATTGTATAGTGTTTGTGATTAAAATACAAAAAAAATAATAAAAGTGAATGAATTACTAGTGCTCTTGTATAGAGTATTTTCAAGAGCTAAAGAAGTCCATCCAAATTAGTCTGCTGGTCATAGTTATATTAATAGATCGTTAGTTGTCGTTTGAAAGATCCCGAGCTAAAGTGTGAATAGGATGTGTTCAGCTGTTTTAACATGTAGTTTAGGCTTTCAAAATTTTGCATGTAGGATTTAATAATTTGTTCATTAAAAAAAAGAAAAAAAAGAAAGAAATGCTTTCAACATTTTGAACTGGAAAAGCATGTCACACAATACAACGTTTTCACTATGTTGCCTCTGGTTTAGTGTGTTTATTTGTTAACCCCCATGTGGCAATTGCAGCAAGCTGAAGACCTGAAGTTGTTTTGCTGGGAAAAACAACGGTGTTCATTTTTCAGACCCCTCTTTGAGTTCTCTCAGAGGAAAGCACTCCAGTAACACGAAAGCAGAAGTAGATCGCTAAAAATATGCAAGTTTGCTTTCCTGCTTAATTACTAAGTTACTTAACTTTCCTGGATTAACGCTAATAACTTCATCAGTACAGAAGCGTGACCCTTTAAACATATGTTCCTTTCCAGACACTGCTTCCTAATTTTAGGGGTTTCATGTTGCTGAAAGTATCTGAACAATCATGTGTGGATATTTTGTAGTCAGAAGTATTTGACCAAGCTCCAGGAGCAGCGTTTCACACCCTACTTTGAGTATCGCCAGAGCCAGCTGTCACCCTGGCTCCCTGCAGCAGTGCCAGAACTGTTCTGGCAGGATCACCCAAACTTTGCCTCCCGCCGACCTGGCTGAAGGCAGGCAAAATGGATCGCCGCGAAATCACCTCCGAGCCTGACAAAACCCACCAAAATCGCCTCTCCAGTGTCACCGAGGAGGAAGGAGAACAAGATGCAGCTTACACGATTGTGACAGTCCTGGACAAAGTGGCCAACATTGTGGACAGCGTGCAGGCGAGCCAGAAAAGGATAGAGGAGAGGCACAGGGAGATGGAAAACACCATCAAGACCATACAGATTGACATCTTAAAGCTTGCCCAGGCTCACGGCAACACAGGCTACACAGTGAACAAGTTACTGGAGAAAACCCGCAAAGTCAGCTCCGTCATGAAGGAGGTGCGGGCACGCGTGGAGAGGCAGAGCACCAACGTGCGGAAGGTGGAAGCAAAACAAGAGGAGATGCTGAAAAAAAACAAATTCCGGGTTGTAATCTACCAGGTAAAAGCAAACCTCATTTCTTGTAGCACTGTTGTTGTCCTGCCGCCTTGGTGGCTGGTGTAGGGCACTGATTAATGAACAAAATGACACAGGCTGTCCAACATGAGAGATATTTTATGCTTTCTTTAACATTCAGTTGTGCTCCTCGGTGTCTTTTAGCATGAGCCCACTGACAGCAGCACACACGGTCTATTATTAGTGTTGGTGGGTTACTGAGCCAGTAGTGTAAGATTAACTGCAGATCAGCAAGGACTATTTGTTGCCTCTCCAAAGGGTAATATGAGGCAGGCTCTATAAATCTTGTCATACAAACCATGCCTGACATTCATCGGTGTTGTTTTTTCACCATATTAGGTCGAAGTCCAAATAGCAGAAGTGTTTTTGGGCTCCCTGAAATGCAGACTTTCTTCTGACACTCACTTCAAAACATAAGGCTTGTTTACCTTGCAGCATTGCTCAGGCTTTCATAGTGCTGACAGACTGGGGCTTTTTCATTGTCTCAGTCTATATGCACAACCTATATGCACAAACTAAAGCTCAGACTCAAAAACCCTTCATGACAGCTGATAGTCCCTTGCATGCTCTACTTTGGAAATGGGCAAGCAAATCCTACTTTTTCTTTCACTGACCTCATTGTAGGATGTTCCTTATTCTTATAAATGTGTTTGAAGAGAAGTTCCATGAAACAGCATGGTCTCGCTTACATGAGTAAGAATGGACAGTGCAGGCAGTTCATGGGTTCTGTCAGTTGCTAGTGAGAGCTGTGAAACCTGTTTGTTTAGTGGCCTGATCCCGCATTTGCTGCAACTTCGCAGTGCCCCAAGTCAGTAGAAAGTAAGGGTCTTTAATCTTTTGCTCCCTCATGCCCCAAAGCTTTTTTCAAATGAGTCATATTCACCATTATGTGTTCCTGAAAATACCATCCCTCGTGAGTAACACAACGCGCCCCCATCGCCCAGCCTTACACCCTGATCTTGCATCTGTTTGTTTGTACATAAATAACATTGCTTGCGATGAATGGGGCCATGTGTTTCAGTGAATATACTCACCACTGTATACAGCTGACAAATTCTTCTGCATAATCTAGCTTTCCAAACTACTTCATTTGCTACAACTGGGAAAAAATAGCTAAACCAAGAAAAAAAGTAGGTAGGAAATTTTACCCTTTTAATGTCATATTCATAACTCTTGTGGTTAATATGCAGCCAAATTGTACCTCCTGCATGACATACTGTGGATGTTCAGGAGAAAGCCTGGGCATAATTTGGCCTATTATTACAATTATTGCAAGCTGCACCATCATGATGGAATAGAAAACAGGCACACTCACTTTTTCCATGAAAATCATTTCCCAGCAAAAGGAAATAAATATCTCAGACTCCCCTGGTTAATGGCACAATGCCATTTCATTGATGGGCCTTTGCCATTAGATTGCAGTCGAAAATAGTTGAAGCTTTGAAAATGTTTGTTCTTGAAACAGTATTTGTTACATAATGTACATTTTTCTCCTAGCAAGACATGAGTAGTTGCTTATTTAAAAATGCAGTAAAATGCGGTGAAAATGAAATTACATGGAGCTATAAAGAACAGCTGTTGGTATTTTCAGATGTTTCATGCAAAGGGTGCGCACTTTCTCTAAAAATCACCTTCAGTTGGAGTTTCTGAACTCTCTACTGGCTTTGCCAGACAAGAATGACCTGCACCCCATTCTGTATGTTTAATACTTCTAGGAAGGAAAACAGCATTTTTGGTTGCTGTCTTTCTAGCTTACTCTTCCTATGGTAGTTTAGAACTGCCAGTGAGAATATGGATGACTTCCTCTTTAACTTCCATCCCTTTATAAAGGGAGATTGAAGAATCTTTTCCCTCTCTTGCACGGTGGTGGAGCAGGTATGCTGATCCTCCTAGGATCTGTCATTTAACACTTTTCTGGAGTAGGATAACTGCATTGCTCCACAAAAACACTCTGGAAGCATGCTCTGGAACATGCTAGGGAATCAAGAGTGCACTGAAGCTTTAAGGCACAGGTACAGTTGTGAAAGTCTCTTGCACAAAAGTGGAGTGATTTTCATACTGTCGATTTACACCAGTGTAGGCTGGAATGCCAAGACCTGAATGACTGAAGCTTGGTTGCAAAGAGTCTGTTAATAGCTACAGAATCAGCATACTCCCTTCACTGTATTTTAGAAATGCGTAGAATCAGGTTCTTTACTTGATGGTGACAGCTCATTTGTAGTGACATTTTTTTCTAATGAATCATTTGGGACATTGTGATGGAGCCAATGACCTGTGCATAGCTGGTGTTGAATGCCTATGTGGGTAAGCACACATTGGGTTTAGTTTTAACTTTTACCAAAACATCAGCATATCAGGAAAAAGGAAACACCAATTAAATCCTAAAGATTTCCTTTCAAGTGGATAGCTTTGATGTTATTGATAAAAAGAGAAGGCAGGCTGAAAGAATCACTGGCTGGAGGAGATTGTCCCAAGAGACCTCAGCAATGATGAAAAGAATTAGCAATATCCTCGCATTAAAAAGAGACAAAGTGACCATCCTTGAGCATAATGATTAGGGAAGGTGAATTCTTTTTTCAAAGGCCGTGTGGTCAAGGAAAAGATCTGGTAGCAGGCAGCCCTCCTCCCCAGGCTGACTGCATGATTAAAAACGCCAGGTTACTTCAGACTTCCTAGTGAGGTCTTAGACCCTGGAGTGCTGTGTGACCTGAGACTACAGCAGGGAATGCAAAAGACATTATAAACTGGAACAGGTCAGTGTTCACTTCTCTTCGGGTTGGTCTGAATAACCAGCTGCGAGAGCTATCATTTCTCTGCAGTCAAAGATCATCTAACAGTTTTACTTTTTCTGACTAAATTATTCAGAAATCAAAGGGGATTTTCCTTTTTTTTTCTTTTTTTTTTTTTTAACCCTGAAAGAACTTGATTTGCTTTCCTGCATTTTCTGCAAGTCTCTCTATGAATGAGAGCATACGGGCACCAGAAAGCCCTTGTTACAGTTACTGTTCTCTTTTCTATTACTACTTTATAAAAGCACCATCAACAAGTAACAGCTTCCTATGCAGGGACACATGCATTTGTTCCCATCACTGTTGTCTGATAAAATCAGTGGACAGTCCCAGTGGACATGTCAGAAACCAGGCAGGGTTATGGCTTGGCTGGTTTACACAGTCATGTTACAGCCGATTAGTTTGCCCTGTGATTGCTCCACTGCACACATGGGAGAAGCTAGCAGAAGCAAACTTGTGTATGCTGTTCATATTATGCATAAATAAAGTTGGAAGTGGCTTTTCCTGGTCACTGTCCCTCTGCAGCATAATGCCTTGGCCAGTAGAAATGGTGACATCAAGGTGGGAACAACAATCTGTAAATCTGAAGTGGAAGCTCTTCCATCCAAAGTGTCAGTAAAAGTCACTGTGGCATGAGCTCAAGAAATGGGGATGCTGAAAGACCAGGCTCACAAGGTCACTCCCCATCTGCATGAACCTGTAATTACAGCTATTCTGGCACAAACCTGTGAGAGTAACCGTAACATGAAAGGCAGGAAATACAACACTTCTATTTAGAAAAAACACAAAGAAAGCCATCTGAACCATAGCCATTCATCTGATACCATTTGGGCATAAGAATAGCAGGCTCAGAAGGCCTCCACAGAACAGAATTGTTAGTACATGGAGTTAAATAGCTCACCAAGAGCAGGCTGTGCTGGAGAAGTCACATTTGATGTTTCACAGAAACATGACAGGTTTTACCCTTTCTCATATTTATGTATCTACTATCTTCATCTCATGACAGATAATCTGGAAAAACAACAGAGGAATGTGGATTGTATTGAAATGGGAAGTGAGGCTTGTGATGGGTTTCTAAAAGTGCTTCCTCCTAAGACCGTCTTTGTCAACTGTATAATATTTTCATTAAAGATATTGGCACAGAAAAGGTGTAGGTACTAACAAAATACATTCAAAATGAGGAATTGTCAGTCCAGAGAAAGACATGCAGGCAAGAAACCAAATAAACTTTGGAGCTAGAGTAATGCTAATGTAGGTGTACAGTGTCAATTCCTTTAGCTTCAGCAGAAGCCCTAGTTGTTAGTCTTCCGAGGCCCCATGGGTTGGCAAGGACAGAAACAGCATGTTACTTGCTCACAAGGTGACTGAGAGTCCACTTGATGCTGTGGCTCTTAAAGAAAGTTAAATGTGGGCATGAAAGGCTTCAGGGCACAGGGCTGATATTTCCAGAAGTGACAAGAGATGCCTAGTGTCCTTGCCCAAAACATTTCGGAGCCCACCTGGACTACTATGTACTGCTCTGATCACCCATGTTGAAGTAAGTTGTGCTCAAGTTGAACAGCCACCAAGCTGATCAGAGAAATGAGAAGCCCCGGTAAATGAGAAGAGAGCAGGTCTAGACCCAGGCTGGTAGAGTCTAGGAAGACACGAGGCTAAGAAACGTTGTGGCTGTCGTTTATACATCCATTTAGGCACGGATGAGGAGTCCAGTAAAGAACATCAACAAAACAGATGAAATGGGTATAAACTGCCCATGAGTCATCTCAGGTCAGAAAGCAGAAATGGATTCTTAGACCTGGAGACAAAGCCTTCTGCTAGAACCCATGGGGAGGGAAGAAAAACTGAACTGCTATTTAAGTCTGAAAACTTAATGGCAAAAAAGATGGTGTAGGATGACTACCTCAGACACAGAGGCCTCAGCAGTCCAGTGACACAGGGCCTTTGTTGGAGTCTTTGTGCCATAAACCCGATAAATGTTTTTACAGCTGGGACAGGTAATTGCCTTCGCTGAGAATACAGAGAATAAAAGAAACCCAAGGGTTATGTCAGAGAGCGTAGCAAGGGTCCTTTGTTCGCAGTGTCAAGCCCAGTCCTGTGGTTCAGAGTGCTGAGCTGGCCCCGTGCTGTGCAGGCAGCCGCCGGTGGAGTGGCAGAGCCAGCGCTGAGGCTGCCAAGAAGATCCTAAATTACCGTGAT